TGCCCGTTTGCCGCTCAAGCTCTCTCGATCTCACCACCTCTCTTGTCTTATTTATTGAGGCGAAGCCAATAATGGTATGACCCTAACCCTTCGACTTCCACTACACCAAAAGACGAGAATGAGCTTTTTGTCTTTATGCAATTTGGATCATTCAACTTCCGCGACCCTGAACATCTTCTTCATTTTCCTCAATTTCTTGAACTCCATCGGCTTCTAGGTGACGCGAAGTCACACACGGATGATTCCTTTAAATCCTTCACATTCTTCGTATTCCTGCGGCTTTAAGCAACATAATGGTCTCTTCCGCCTCCTTTGACTTACTAGTCTTCCTCGCCTTCTTTGAATTCTTCAAGATGAAACCCCGAGTACGAAATATTACATTGAGTGTTTATGGGAGTATTAGTAAGTTTTGTTACCTAAAAGATCATTTTTTATCAAAAAGGTTCATGGCATTTTTGTTCTGAAACAAGGAAGCTCCTTTGCTATAGGCAAATGCTATTCTTTAAAAATATTGAGGGGAATCAACATCTTGGATTAGAAAACATTTTGGTAGATAGCATTTGATTGTATAAGCCCATTTTTTGTTTACTTTATGCAAGTATAATGTTATTGATGCAGTCGAAGATTATCATTTTATATTTTGTATTATATATATGTTTTAGATTTCATGTAATTTTTTATGTAATATTTTGTCTATGTTTTTTATGTGCCCTGTGATGGAAAACAACTCGTGATCATGCTTGGTTTTGATGCTCTTTGGTAATTTTTCTCATTTGTTTTCCATTCTTGATCTTGTTCTTTTTTTTCTTTATTGGCTTAGTGGAAATTTATTTTGGGCTGAAATTTCCTAATGGGCTTGGCCCATTTCATTCCCTTCCTTTTGGTTGCTTGGTGTTCCATGCTTATTACGGTTTGTCTTTTGCTTGTGTCATGTTATTTCCCATGCAGCTGGTGTTTTACTTTTGCTATTTTGGAATTCCTGCAACCGCTCATTCCCCTTCCTTTGTGCTGTTTCCAAGTTTTGTGTTGACTCCTATTGGCTATTTGGGGTGGCTCATTTAATGAACTGGGTCGTCGTGTTTGAAACATCAAAATTGCTAAAGGAAAACCTCTTGCAATCAAATCGAATGAAGAGAGTAAAAACGATAATCTATGAACACAACCTTGTGCGAAATTGCTTGAATGTTGTCCGTTGTGAAACGGACTGTTCCTGTGTCCAAAACATTCATATTACCTAGAAAGGACATCCATATTGTATGAGTTGTCGCACGGGCAAAATCTGTTTGCGTTTAAGAGGCGTCTAAACACACAAATTGAGATGCACAACTAACGAGAAATTGTACTAGGAATCTGTTCACATTTCCTTAAACATTTTATACAATTTTAATTAATTTATAATAAAAAATAAAAATATATAAATATATAATTTTTAAAAAATAAAAATATGTATATACCTTATCCCATTCCCTTATGCTCAAATGCTGCTCCACGCCTCATCTCGTTCCATGTGTCTTAAAATAATAAAGTTTAACTAAAATTTAAAGCCTAAACTAAACCCCCTTCTCTATCTCACGTACCCCAGTCTAAAATGTTGCTTTCCCCTCACGCGACTGTCACACACATACCCCTTGTTCGCATTCCTCATCAAACCACCTGCTCAGCCCTTCTCCAACTCCTCTTCACTCATCCCTACATGTAAGATCACTCAAATGACCTTCTATCGCCTGTTTGTTGACGAACCAACCACCAACTACTTGATGCAACCACACACAACTCGCAACCCCTCTTCCTCTCTCTCACACACAGCTCGTCGTTCGGCCTCTGGTATACAAGAAACTCATCTCCACTTAGCCTCACCTAGCATTAGCCTGCAAACCACCCTCTTCTCAATATCCATCTACAAAATAACAAGCCGCTGTCAGCCACCCTATCTCTTGTAGCTCCCTATTCAAATTTCAATAGTGACCACTCGATCTCTCAGACTGGCACTTGCCAGCCAACCTTTCAAACCCATACATCACACCCTATCCAATCGTTATTCTGCTTCCAGCTACCGTTGTCTAACCCACCTACCCTATCTATCCTTTACCTTCTCCAAGCCACCTAACCCTAGCAGCTTACTTTTTCTTCACTTGCTGCTAGCCACCAACCCTCTTGCAACTCCTAATCTCTCTCCATACATAGCCACTTGTTTCCCACCTCTCATCACACACTGACCCAACCGACCTACACCAGCATTCCCCATGTCACATTCACTCACTCTCACCCTCTCGTTATTTTCTCTCTAAACATTGAGAGATTTTCTCTCTTCAATCCATCTCTCTAATTGTCTCACTGTATCAAAATGGAGGGAGAAAGTCCTCTCTTTAGTCTGTCTGCCTCTCTCTCTCTCTCTATATGTGTGTGTATATATATATATATATATATATATAACGAAAAAGAAAAAAAAATGAAAAATAATTAAAAAAGAAAAATATAAAAAAGAGGCGTTCTCACCCTCATTGACTCTTCATCATGTCTGTCACTTAACATGCTAAGGTATAAACTTTTAAACTAGTATAAACTCGAAAATCCTGTTGGCGACATGCTCAACATGACAAGAGAACCCAATATACTTTTTATAGCGCGGAAGGGAAAACTCGTACGCGATGTTTGTGATGCTAAGGATAAGCCTTGTATGTAGTGTTTTTTAAATTGGACCAGACTGGCCGATTCGTCCGGTTCAGTTGTTAGTTTGGTCAAGTTGGTAAATCAGATTTGCATAGAACCGGTGCAAACCTGTTTGAATTGTCGGTTTCAATTGGTAAATTGTCAAACTGGTTCAGGTTTGGTTGATCTGGTTAGTTTAATAAATATTTTTTTTATTTAAATAAAATTTTTAAAATTTAAATATATATTTAAAGGCATATACTTATGCAAATAAATTTAACGAAAATATAAAGCTGCTAGCTTGCCACATCATGCAACTTTATTTATTGTTTATGGTTTATGCTATATACTCTATATAAAGAGAACTACTAGTAATTCTCATGTGATGTGAGACTAAAAACCTGTGAGAATTCTGCAGGAGTTAAACTATCTAATTCCTTGGAATGTAAATTTGGGTTGAGAATACGTATAATTTATTAAAGTTAGGAACATAAGTTTTTTATATTATAATAAATATTATATTATTATTCTTATAAAAAATTATATTTATATTATTGAACTTTTTTTAATTTTAAGATCTATTTATCATGCATATAATTATATTTGTAATATACATATTCACATTAATGATCAACCGAGCTTTTAATAAGCTTTATTTTAAACCTTAATTGAGCTTGCTCATGAGCTTTAATCAAAGTAGTTGTGTATTTTTGGTTAAAATTTTAATTATTACATTTTTAATATTATATTTGAATAATTTTAGTATTTTTTAAATTATCCGGTTCAAGCTCGGTTGAACCATTGAACCGTGAACCTCTTTTTTCTTTTGGTTTGGTGTCCGATTCGGTTTTTGCAACCTTTCTTGTATGCATTTTTCTTAATGCGTGGATAAATTTTAAGTACCTGTATGTGTCTTTGTTAACACAGTGATGAAAAATTGCAAGTCTTTAAATAGGTACCCGAAGACCCTTACATTCATTAATTGGCTCGTTGGGATAGAAGATTTTGACCAACCATACATATTTTTCTTACCATGATGGATAGTTCTAGCATTCCTCGATGATGCTCTACTACGCGGGGGAGATGTTGGGAGGCTGCAAAAATTCAGACTGTACGGATGCTCGGAGAATCATACTTAAAATAACGGATTAAAATAAAAAAAAACTATTAAGAAAAATTTGCAAAAAATGAAAACAAAAGCATTGACTGAAAATGAACTTATTGGGATCTTGGAACAAACTCTCAAATGTCCGCTTGCAAGCACATTATCTCCCTACAACCCTAAGACCCTCAAGGACTCGCTCTGCATTGCAATGAATTGAAAATGAACTGAATACCCTATCAATTTATAGAAATGAAAAGATGTTGTGTGGGTCCCGCCTGTCTTAAAATTAACTCATGTATACAATTCTATTTTATGTTAAAGCTGAATGAATATAAAAACAAAATCTAACTCGCCTTCAACACCACTAAATGCACAACACATACATAAGCAAACAAAATCTAACTCGCCTTCAACACCACTAAATGCACAACACATACATAAGCAAACAAAAAATGTACTTTTAACTTTAAAATGAAATACTGCAATGACAAACACATGCAAATAATCAAATTTGAGCATTTTAAAATCTCGTATGCATACAAGTATAAATTTAAAATTCAAATGCGTCATCCCACGAAAGCACACAATAGTTTCGAGAAGCATGCAACAACATTGAGAAGCGTGTAACAACCTTGTAGCACAGCTATATCCTCAAGTAATGTGTAACAGGCTCGCTAAGCATATTATTGCCTCAAGTGCATACTATCGCCTCTAGGAGCGCTCCACAACCTCGAAAACCACACAATTGCACTAAAAACATACTATTTAAATAAGAAATTTTAATTATATTTAAAAGCATGCACGTATGCTTTGCAATTGCACCGAAAGATATACAAGGGCCTCGTGTGAGCGTAATGAAAAACGTTCAAGCAAATTGCAAGTGTGGGCAATGCTTCTGACTATTGTCTTAAACAATAAATTGGAGCGATCATACCTAACCCTATATATATATATATATATATATATATAATTAGCATGATCAAACCTAACTCAATCACAAGGCCTATCAGTTTGGGTGTTAGAGGATTTTCTAACCAAGGTTTGATGGAGTTTAAATAGTTACTATGTATGGTAATTGGCCAAGCTGTTTTCTCGGTTAATTGTTGATAGTTTAACTTAAAATTTTTAGTTCATCTTAGCTGAATGTTAATTCAAAAATTTTTAATCCAGCCTTGATTTTTTGATAAAGGCTTTAATGTTTTTGATGATGACATTGACTAAAACTATTTATACCGTTTATTATCAGGTATTCTCCAGAACAGTAATCTGTCGGGATTTGGATGTTGCCACAAATGTCGCTCGAGCTAATGGACTTGACTGTATTACATTGGAAGGTGCATAGCCAAAAAACTTGTAATGCTACAGAATGGAATAAAGCTTTCTTTCTTCTTGTTGAATACTTGACTTCTAAACATATGATAGGAGACCAAGTTAGCAAGAAAGGTGGTATGACAGGAGGATTTTATGATTCTAGACGGTCAAAGCTGAAGTTCATGAATATTATAAAGCAAAGCAAAAGCTCCATTCTCAAGAAAACTGATGAGCAAGATAAGATTTCCAGGCAGCTTCAGGATATCCTAAGAGGGTTTTTTTTCTACATTTTTTTTAAAATTTTACATAAATACGTTTTTATTCATCAATTTGCAGATTCATTTAGGCTTTGTTTAGACAACATCTTCTATGTGCTCCATATTCATGCTATTTTGGTTTATTTACATTGACAAAATGAATTGCATTAAGGATGAAAATAAAAAAACACTTTTATTCGAAGAGGATATTCAACAAAGGTGGATGAGATATTTTGATAAGCTTTTCAATGAAGATTGTGAGAATACGATTGATTTTAGTGACCTTATCATCCTAAATAAAAATAGTGATTTTTATTTTTATCAATGTATTATTAAAAGTTAGAGAAGCTTTAATGAAAATAAAGTGTTTAAATGCTATTGGATCTGATTATATTCCAATAGAAGTGTGAAAATGCTTAGGACATGAAGAAATTTCTTGGCTTACAAAAATTTTCATTATTATTTTAAAGACTAAAAAGATGCTAGATGAGTGGAGGAGTGTGTTAATTCATATTTTTAAGAATAAATGTGATGCACAAGAGTATAAATTATAGAGAAATTAAGTTAATATGTCATACTTCAAAACTATGAGAGAAAGTTATTGAACATAGATTACGGTGTGATACTAATGTTGCTCAAACTCTTTGGATTCATGCCGAATTGGTCTATTATGGAAGCTATACATTTATTAAGAGGTTTGATGGATAAGTATAGAGAGAATACAAAGGATTCAAATGTGATGTTTATTGATTTAAAGAAAGCATATGATAAGATTCCAATAGAAGTGCTCTGGTGAGTTCTAGAAAAGAAATGAATTAATAATATTTATATTTAAGTCATTAAGGATATATATGTAAAAGTTATTACTTGTGTTCAAACTCAAGGTGGTTTGACCAAGTATTTTCCTATTTTAGTTGGATTATATCAAAGATTAGCTTTAAGCCCATATCTTTTTCTTTTAGTTATAGATGTTCTTACTAGGCATTTACAAGAGGATGTACCCTGATGTATACTTTTTGCTAATGATATTTTTCTTGTTGATAAGACTAGAGAGTGAGTTAAAGGTAAACTTTACTATGGAGGTCAACCTTAGAGTCTAAAAGTTTTCATTTGAGTAGATCTAAAATCGAATATTTATAGTGTAATTTTAGTAGTAATAGATTTAGTGGATTGATTGTGACTTTGGGTGATCAAGTCATTGATAAGAGTACATGTTTTAGATATCTCAGGTCTATTGTTCAAATTGACGTTGAAATAGATGAGGATATTATTAGTAGAATTCAAATTGGATGGTTGAAGTGAAGGAATGCTTCGGGTTTGCTGTGTGATAGAAAAGTATTACTCAAACTTAAGGGAAATTTCTATAAGCTGGTGGTGAGACCTACAATACTTTGTGGTACATAATATTGGCCATTAAAAGAGAAGCATAAGATATATGTATACGCTAGTCAAACAAATAGATAGGAGTAGTAAGGATTTAGTTCAAGTGAAGTGCATTAAGGATAAATATCAAAAAGTAAATTTTTTAGAAGAGGATATTCAACAAAGGTGGATGAGATACTTTGCTAAACTTTTCATTGAAGATTGTGAGAATGCGATTGACTTTAGTGACCTTAGCACCCTAAATGAAAATATATATTTTTATTTTTATCGGCGTATTAGTAAAACTTAAGTTAAAGAGGCTTTAAAGAAAATGAAGTGTGTAAAAACTATTGGACCTGATGATATTCCAATAGAGGTGTTGAAATGCTTAGGAGATGAGAGGAATTTCTTGGCTTATTAAATTTTTTAATATTATTTTGAAAACTAAAGATGCTAGATGAGTGGAGAAAGAGTGTGTTGATTCCTATTTTTAAGAGTAAAGGTGATGCATAATATTGTGCGAATTATAGAGGACTTATATTGATGTGTCATAACATAAAACTTTGGGAGAGAGTTATGGAGCATAGGTTATGATGGGATGCTAATGTTTTTCAAAATCAATTTGGATTCATGCCGGGTAGGTCTATTATGGAAACTATTCATTTATTGAGAGTGTTGATGGAGAAGCTTAGAGAGAATAACGAGGATCTACGTATGATATTTATTGATTTAGAGAAATCATATGATAAAATTTCAAGATAAGTGCTATGGAGAGTTCTAGAAAAGAAAAGGGTTAATAATGCTTATATTCAAGTCATTAGGAATATGTATGCAGGAGCTATTTCTTGTGTTCAAACACAAGGAGGTTTGACCAAGTATTTTCCTATTTCAGTTGGATTACATCAAGGATCAACCTTAAGCTCTTATCTATTTTCTTTATCATGAATGTTTTTACTAGACATTTGCAAGAGGATGTACCCTTGTGTATGCTTTTTGCTGGTAATATTCTTCTTGTCGATAAGACTAGAGAGAGAATCGAAGGTAAACTCAAATTATGGACGTCAATCTTAGAATCTAAAGGTTTTCCTTTGAGTATATCTAAAATCGAATACATGGAATATAATTTTAGTAGTAATAGATCTAGTGGGGGTTTATGACTTTGAGCGATCAAATCATTAATAAGTGTATTCATTTTAGATATATTGTGTCTATTGTTCAGAGTGATGGTGAAATAGATGGGATAAAGACTTGATGTTGTTGTTGTTGTTATTCTTACATTGATACAATTTTTTGCTTTGGTTGAATTTCATCAATTTCTTATACAGGAGTGGCCTATTTCCTATGAATGCCTATCAGTTTACACTTTCAGCTATGCGCAAGCTTTAGGATTTTGCTTGATGGTTGAACTTATAGTTTGGAAGAACCTTATATTGATTCATCTATTGGACCACTTTGTGTTTACTTAATGCATCCATCTTGATAATGTTGATGAGTTTGATTTTTGATTTTAAGCAACTTAGAGCATAAGTTCTTGAATAAGTTCATATTTATTCATATAGCGCAACAAGATGATTTTGCTTGATTCATACAACTTAAACCTTGCTCATGATTTTGATTTATGATTTTAAACCGACGCCCGGGTGCAGTGTCAAATATGCAATGGGAAAAAAAGCTAGTACATGAAATTAAAATTAGGACAGGAACTTGAAATATAAGTACCCTTACAGAAAAATTAATGAAATTAATAGATATTATATTCAGAAGAAAATAAATATTCTATGCATTCAGAAAACCAAATGGGTTGGAGAGAAGGCTAAGGAGATTGATAGTTTATGATTTAAACTATAGTATTCTGGTAAGAGTCATACTAGAAATGTTGTAGGTGTGATTATAGATAAGAGTTTAGATGATGATGTTGTAAAAATTAATAGAATTGTAGATAAAATTATAGCTTTAAAGATTATTGTTGATGGTATGATTATTAATATTATAAGTAGTATGGTCCTCAAGTGGGTTTAGATATGAGTTTAAATTAAAATTTTGTAATGACTTAGAAGAATTAATATAAAAGATATCTGTTGAAAAAAAAATTATTAGAGGAGATTTAAATGGACATGCTAGTAATGAGTTATATGATTTTAAAAGCATTCATGGTGTCTATGAGTTCGGAATGATCTTATGATTTTGTAATTGTTAATATTTTATTAAAAGAAAAAGATATGATCATTTCATCACTTATAAGAATGGATATAATAAGACTTAGATTGATTATTTTCTTATAAGAAAAATAGATCGTTTAGATTACAAAGATTGTAAAATTATTTCAAGTAAAAGTTTATGTATCCAACATCGCTTATTAGTTTTAAACTTTAAGATGAAGGCTAGAAAATAAGAAATAAAGTAGAACATTATTCTAGGATTAGATGGGGGCATTTACAAAACATTAAAAAAATATTTTTGATAGTAAGATATTAGATCTTAAGATTTTGTATTGTGCATGTGGAAGCTAATGTTATATGGGAAAAATAGCTAGCGATATTAAAAATGTTACAAAAGATATGCTTGGAGTATCAAAGGAAAAATCTCCTAATAGTAAAAATTGTTGGTGGTGGAATCAAAATGTGCAAGAAAAGATAAAAATAAGAAGATTTGTTATAAAAATTGGTTTAAATGTAAAAATTCTGATAATTGAGAAAGATATAAAGAGACCCCTAAGGAATCTAAGAAGCTACATGCGATGCAAAGTTTTTTTCATATAATGATTTATATAATAGATTAGATGTAAAGGAGGGAGAAAGATATATGTATAAGTTAGCCATACAGAGAAAAGAGTAGTAAGGATTTAGTTGATGTGAAGTGTATTAAGGATGAAGATCAAAAAGTGCTTTTATTAGAAGAGGATAATCAACAAAAGTGGATGAGATATTTTTATAAACTCTTCATGAAGATTATGAGAATGTGATTGATATTATCGACCTTAGCGCCTTAGATGAAAATAAAGATTTTTATTTTTATCGACGTATTAGTAAAATCGAAGTTAGGGAGGCTTTAAAGAAAATGAAGTGTGGAAAAGCAGTTCGACCTGATAATATTCCAGTAGAGGTGTGAAATGCTTAGGAGATGAATGAATTTCTTGGCTTATTAAACTTTTTAATATTATTTTGAAGACTAAAAAGATGCCAAATGAGTGAGGAATGAGTGTGTTGATTCTTATTTTTAAGAATAAAGGTGATGCACAAGATTGTGTGAATTATGGAGGAATTAAGTTAATGTGTCATACTTTAAAACTATGGGAGAGTTATGGAGCATAGGTTGTGGCATGATACTAACGTTTCTCAAAATCAATTTGGATTCTTGCCAGGTAGGTCTACTATGGAAGCTATGCATTTATTGAGAGGTTTGATGGAGAAGTGTAGAGAGAATAAGGAGGATCTACATATGATATTTATTGATTTAGAGAAAGCATATTTGATAAAGTTCCAAGAGAAGTGCTATATAAAGATCTAGAAAAGAAAGGGGTTAATAATGCTTATATTCAAGTCATTAAAGATATGTATGCATAAGCTATTACTTGTGTTTAGACACAAGATGGTTTGACCAATTTTTTTCCTATTTCAGTTTGATGCAAGCAAAAATTTGGGAAAAACCCCAAATTTTTGCGAGCAATTGCAACTCTTCCTAGGAACTAGAAAATACACCAAATACTCAAAAAATATTTTTTATAATAAAAAGGACGCTTACAAGCTTAAAATAAAAGAAAAGACACCTTACAACTCTTATGACAAACATAAAACCTAAAACTGCTTTTTTATTCGTCAAGAAAAAGGATACAAGTGGCACCAAACTTGCGGATAGAATAAAGAGATTAGAAACGGAGATGAAGAAGAGAGGAGAAGCTCGCAAGCTTTCCTAGAGCAGAAGAGAAGCATGGAACAAGCTCGCAAGTTTTTCCAAAGAAAGCAGAAAAAACCCTCAGGTTTTTGACTCCAAAAATCTCATCATAAGCTCATTTTTTATGCTTCAAAACATCTCTAATATACAGGCACAAAAGGGGAACTAAACAGCCACCTAAAACTTTATTTAAAACCAATCAACCAAGGGGAAGTGGAAAGGCCAAAGGACACCCCAAACAGCCCCCAAAATTTAGACAGAAAACAGGAAGGAAAACCACGAGAAACACAACCAGGGAGCCACGGGAAAGCAGCCAGGGAGGGACCCGAGGAGCCAAGCCAAGAAACGAGACATAGGAAGACACGAGAAAAGCAGGCAGGGAGAAAACCGAAAAGGCAACCAGCCCACAGCTTTTATTCACAAGGAAGAAACCAAGGGGACACAATAATGGGAAGAAATGGCCAAGGGGGAAGAACCAAATTCACTCCAATTAATGAGGTATCATTAGATCAAGCATTAATGAGCTAAAAACTCAGTAGTTCCCAAAAATTCAGCCATAAATCAAAGCAGCCAAGGTCCATTCCGAGAACAACAAGCAGCCCAAAGACTTAAGATGTTAAGACCCCTCCTTTGCCTACATCAATTCTCCTCCGGTTGAAAATGCTCATCTCCCGATGGGTTGTCTTTAAAATTTTGGAGATCCGGCATTTCAGATTTCTGAATCAAAATGTCATACCTTCGTTTGATGATTTCCTTTTCTCGTTCAAATTCTGACAGGAGTTGAAGTTTCTTCGCTTCAAATCTTTTGGCACTTGAGTGTAGCTGCTCTTGAATCTTGATAAGCTCGATCTGTATCGGGTCTGAAGAATTTTCTTGTAGCGAGATCCATTGGCTTTTAGGAATAGATTCTTCAAAATCTTTTGGCTTACTTTCTTGCTTGATTTCCACTTGATGTTTATCCATATCGACTTAAAATAAAGGAAGACCCAATAAAAACTTAGATTCACTTGACACAACAGACTCACATGACACACACGACAATTGGTATGACTCACCAAGACTCACTCGACAAGCTGGGATTTGCTAACCAGCTCTGATACCAAATTGATGCAAACAAAAATTTGGGAAAAGCTTCAAATTTTTGCGAGCAAATGCAACTCTTCTTCGGAACTAGAAAAAGACACCAAATACTCAAAAAGACACTTTTTATAATAAAAAAGACGCTTACAAGCTTAAAATAAAAGAAAAGACACCTTACAATTCTTATGACAAACATAAAACCTAAAACTGCATTTTTATCTGTCGAGAAGAAAGATACAAGTGGCGTCGAATTTGCGGATAGAAGAAAGAGATTAGAAGCCGAGACGAAAAATATATGAGAAGCTCGCAAGCTTTCCTAGAGGAGAAGAGAAGTATGAAACAAGCTCGCAAGCTTTTCCAAAGAAAGAAGAAAAAACCCTTAGGTTTTTTACTCCAAAAATCTCATCATAAGCTCCATTTTTATGCTTCAAAACATCTCTAATATATAGGCATAAAAGGGGAATCAAACAGCCACCTAAAACTTCATTTAAAACCAATCAACTAAGGGGAAGAGGAAAGGCCAAAGGACATCACAAACAGCCCCCAAAATCTGCACAGAAAACATGAAGGAAAACCACGGGAAACACAGCCAGGGAGCCATGGGAAAGCAGCTAGGGAGGGACCTGTGGAGCCAAGCCAGTAAACGAGACAGAGGAAGACACGAGAAAGCAACCATGGAGAAAACCGAAAAGGCAACCAACCCACAACTTTTATTTACAAGGAAGAAACCAAGGAGACACAATAACGGGAAGAAACAACCAAGGGGGAAGAACCAAATTCACTCCAATTAATAAGCTATCATTAGATCAAGCATTATTGAGCTAAAAACTAAGTAGTTCCCAAAAATTCAGCCATAAATCAAAGCAACCAAGGTCTATTCCGAGAGCAACAAGCAGCCCAAAGACTTAAGATGTTAAGACCCCTCCTTTGCCTACATCATAGTTGGATTACATCAAGGATCTTCCTTAAGCCCATATCTTTTTGCTTTAGTCAGGGATGTTCTCACTAGACATTTGCAAGAGGTTGTACCCTAGTGTATGCTCTTTGCTGATGATATTCTTCTTGTTGATAACACTAGGTAAACTTGAATTATGGAGGTCAACTTTAGAGGTTAAAGGCTTTTGTTTGAGTAGATCTAAAACTGAATATATGGAGTGTAATTTTAGTAATAGTAGTTCATGTGGGGGGATTATGACTTTGGATGATCAAGTCATTAATAAGAGTACACATTTTAGATATATTGGGTCTATTATTTAGAGTAATGGTGAAATAGATGGAGATATTATTAGTAGAATTCAAGTTGGATGGTTGAACTGAGGAGTGCATCGGGCATGTTGTGTGATAGAAAAGTCTTCCTCAAACTTAAGAGGAAATTCTATAAGATGGTGGTGAGACCTGCAAAGCATTATGGTTCAGAATGTTGGCCATTAAAAGAGAAGCAAAATATATAGTGTTGCAGAGATGAGGATGCTCAGGTGGATGAGTAGCTTTACTCTTAGTGGCAGGATGCAAATTAAGCATATACGTGAAAAGGTTGGAGTAGCTCCAGTGGAAGATTAGATTAGAGAGAGTCGCCTTAGATGGTTTGGTCACATAAAACGGCGGCCTTTCGATGACCAGGTTAGGAAAATAGACGTATTAGATTTGACTTATGTTAAGAAAAGTAGAGGTAGATCTAAAAGTACTTGGTTAGAAAATATTAGAAATAATCTTACTTTATTTGATTTAAATGAGAATTTAACTTTTAATATGTCAAAATAGAGAAAAGGATTTATGTAGCCAACCTCACATAGTGGGATAAAAATTTTATGTTGTTGTTGTTGTTATTTTAAATGTAATGAGCAACTATAATTTGATGAATTTTTTTCTCAGAAAACTCAGTTACCAACAAGGCGGAAGTTCATGAATCTCTGAATTTTTACTTAAGTGTGTGTTGGGTTTGCTGCAAGTGTGAGGTACTGCCGCTTCCAATCCTCGGAGCGGGTATAGGGGAAAACCATTTTTGAAAATGTGTTTGGTTCATTTGTCCCTTGACATACCGTCTCTCTCATGGGCAAACTGCACTTGTTTTATGTACAGACACTTTGATAAATTCAGAATAAGGTTTAGAGGGCATGTGCCATGTCGATGTTATCAAGGAAAATCGGCTTGCTGAGGAGTGCGTTTGGAGTACAAAATTATTCTATCCCACAAACAAGCTGTTTAAATTTTCTTGCGTTCTATTGTATTGTGTTTTGACCTTCCATTTTGGGAAGTTTTTTAAGCATGTTCTCCATTGACTTCTCATACATTTAGATAGGGAAATTAACGATCTTGTCAGTAGACAACAGAGAATAGATGCTGAACGGGGTCATATGAAGTCAGAATTGGAGCAACTTAAACTGGATATAGCTAATGCTGTTAAGCAGAAGCAATCAATTTCTAGATCTCTTGAGAAAAAGGTGTTTAAATGTTCTTGCTTTGTCTTTTTGGTTTGTGGAAGGCTTCCAGCTTTTTATTATGCCGTTCAGGCAGATATTTGTAAGTTCCCATCTGTTTAGCGATAACATTCTCATTTTACATGTAGGGAAAACTGCTAGGAAATGCTCTCACGCAGATTGATCAAATCAGAGCTGGCATTGCAATGAAACGAGCTGAAATGGGTACAGATCTTGTTGACCAATTAACACCAAAAGAAAAGGATCTTCTTTCCCGGTTAAATCCGGAAATAACTGAACTAAAGGAGAAGCTTTTGGCTTGTACGACAAGTAGAGTTGAGGTATGTGAATTTATCTTTCTAAATGATATTAGTTTTTCATCTCACTTAATATTCTTAGTAAAATAAAATTAATGAACAAAAGTTCTACAGATTGAAACAAGGAAAGAGGAGTTGGAGACTAATCTTTCAACAAACCTTGTTAGACGACAACAAGAGTTAGAGGCAATAATTTTGTCAGCAGATTCTGGTACTTTACCTATGGAAGCTGAGCTCAAACGCCAGGAATTAGAAGATTCAAATGAAACGGTTCATGAATTAATGAAGCAGCTCAACCGTGTGATTCCTATTCAAACTGATTGCAACTTTGTAATTATTTGACATTGTATATGCCTTTGTAACACTTGTTGGCATATATGCAGAGGCTTTACATAGCATAGATGAATTTTCGAAGAAGATTAAAAATAATAGGAACGAAAAGGATCGAATTAAGGTAATTGATGTGAGAGATTGATAACTAAAATTCTTCTTTTAGTTGCTGTTTGAAATTCATGTAATTTCTAACGTTTGGCAGGCCACTGAAGAAGAATATGAGCGTACACTTCAGGACGAGGCAAAAGATCTGGAGCAGTTACTCAACAAGAGAAATTTACTTATGTCAAAACAAGATGATTGCAAGAAAAAAATCCGGGATTTGGGTTCATTACCTTCTGATGCTTTCGAGAGGTACTTTTTTTTTTTTTTACCTTAAGATTTTTTGAGATTATCTAAACTCATCATCTTATTGTAAGGTTGAAATTAAAGACATAATTTTATGCATTGTTCTCTCCTCAAGAATGTTAGTGTTTATGCCTAAATGTTGTTCATTTTCATGTGTTTTGAATTCATGATAAATTGTTGCATATTTTTTTACTTACTAAAAATGGTTTAGTTTAGCTTTCATGTCATATAGCATGTGTTGAGTTGTATCTAAATGATAATTTATAACCGACAGTTTATAGGATCAGCGAGTTCAGGATGTATGAAATATGATGTATATATGTTTTAAAGCATTCTAACTTGTTTGGTGTATTCTAATATGAAGTTTCACTTTACAGATATTGCTAGTAGTTGATTTATTATTTTTTGATGTCTTTTGGCTGATATGGACGCAATGTGGGACATAGAACATAGTCTGCTTGTTCATTTGTGCACATAAGTTTATAACTATTACTTTTCAACCTCATTTGCTTATGCCTTAAGATTGTACCTCTCTTCAATTCTTTTGAATCAGCATTTTCTTTTTATCCAATTAATTAATTTAACTGTAGAAATATTTTTCTTTTCCATTCATTTCCATTATAGCTTTTAGGTAGTTGTTGATTTTTTCATTCCTCAACACTTCAGGCCTCTTGGGAATAACTTTAATTATTCCAAATATGTTCCCCAATTTCTCTAATCTTGTTTATTTTGTCATTTCACTATTGTGAGGTTGTGCTCTTATTCCATTGTATAGTTGATTGCGCATGAAATAATATTTTTAAGTTTTAGCAATGTGAAAAAAACATTGTAATATCAAACCGATTGTTGCTTAAGAATATCTTGACTGATAACCTGAGTGTGGCACAGTGAAAATGTTTAAAAAAATCTTGATAAAATCCGTGAGGATATGTTGAGAAATGATTATATTGGAGAGAGTGGAGGAGCATTATGATTATGCCAAAGTAATGTAAAGCAAAACATGCTTTGGTTTGGTACAGTGATCGAATTAATCTTAATTAAGAAAAAAAAGATGATAGGAGGTAAATCAAAGAAGTTTTTACTTGAAGTTATGTAAAATATATTTTATTATAATGTTCTTACTGCATCTTGTACATAATTGATATGAAATGCTAAAAAAGATTTACGAAGCTAACTAATAATTAAGATCGTAGTTCTGATGTCGTATGAAATTTAAATGGAAGCTATATCAGTTTATCATGATAAAGGGCATGTTTATTTATGTGTATATTACACTTCTGCATTCAGGCATATGATCACATGGTTGAGTTTACTATTAATAATTCTCAATGAATAAATGAGGTAACATGGTTTTCACTTATGCTAATTTTTTAAGTTGAGTTCTCTTGTTGATTGTGTGATATTATTAACCAACCTTTTAGGTTGCGTTTGGGATAGTTTTTTCACATCATTATTTTACAGATTGATTTCACTCAAGTTTTGCTGATTTTTTTTTTTTCTGCTGATCTTCTAAGGAGACTTTCATAATTATATTTGCTAGAATGTGATAATTATAAGAAAGTTGTTGTTCAACTTTTTCAAAAGGTAAAAAGCCTATAGAACACGAAGCTATTTTAAAAAATTTTACCTTTTCAACAACAATTCCACAATTAATTTTACATTTAGACATATAGCTTCATTGTAGCTTCATCGATCTCAAATGGAATCCTAAAAATTTTTCATTATGTTCTAAAACAAAGAAGTTTTCATATTTCATTTTTTTCAAGTGCTAGGGACTTCAATATCTGACCTTTCACCGTACAAAAGAAATTATTCTACTTACATTTTTTTTTCCCGCCTGATGCTAGATGACCTTAAATTTTGATCATTTCTTTATACTAAAGGTATAAGAAGAAAAACATCAAGGAATTAGTAAAAATGCTTCATAAGTGCAATGAGGAGCTAAAACAGTTCAGCCACGTTAATAAGAAAGCACTTGATCAATACATGAACTTCACGGAACAACGAGAACAGCTGCAGAACAGAAGAGCTGAACTTGATGCAGGTGATCAGGTACAAGAATTTGATGACGAACAGCATCCAATGTCCATAATGCGCTCCATTGTAATTATGGTTGACACTTGACAGTTCTTTCACATGAATTTAATGCTGCAGAAAATACGAGAACTTATTTCTGTTCTGGATCAGCGGAAGGATGAATCTATTGAACGCACTTTTAAAGGAGTTGCCAGAAATTTCCGTGAAGTATTTTCAGAGCTTGTACAAGGTGGGCATGGGTTCTTGGTAATGATGAAAAAAAAGGTTAGCGCCTATAATATATCTTTTCTGTTTTACTTATTTTAGAATATCTTTTTAAAATTGTTCCCTTTTTGAACAATCATAAACGTGATTTAGAGATTCTTATATTTGTAAAGTTTTCTTGTTGGTAAGTTTGATGATCCTTGATTCGCATTCTGCCTCAATGCTTTCTGAGAATTTGTAGTTAGCAATGTACTTTGAGGTGTATTTTAGGTTATTCCTAGTTGCATACACCCGGGTAATGTCTCAAGTATCAGACTGAGAAAATTGCTCATACCCTTAGATATTGTTGTAATCATGTTTCTATTTATGTGCATTGTTGGATATATGCTTTGCTGTTGAAGTAGTGAGCTGTATTAATACCTAGTGAAAAGGCTTTAGGTTTAAATTCATATCTTGCAAATCTCACGAGTTTGCATCATTCTGATAAGTGGATGAGCTTATTCCAAGTCTTGTGGTTGTGTATCAAGCCAATCGGTAGATAAAAGTTTGTTTAGTAATGAAAATGAATATTAAGGGCTAGGTTATTAGTTTAAACTCGTTAAAATATTCGATCAGGGCTGGTGTTTAAGTTTAATTTCACCAATATATTCCATCATCTTTCATTTCTCTTTGCTTATTAAAAATATTACCCTGGCAACAAAATATCCTTTTATGACACATTGGTTAATAATTATTTTTTCTTGTAAGAAATAAAATTTGGTGTTGGAATGCATTGAGGAGAAATCTCTTTATTTTAGATTATTCAATAGACAACCCCTCTATTATAGTGGTGTCTACACAATGTGCGAAGGTTCAACAAAATAAACATTTTCCATTAAGTATATATGTAGGTTAACACTCCCTCAAGATGAAGTATATATGTATCAAATTGTTTTAGCTTGCTACATATTATGGAAAATGGAAGTGGACCAAAAGTCTGTGTAAATATATCTACTAGATGTTCTGAACGGGAAATGTGAGGAGTAATGATCCTCTTTGATAGCACCACATCCCTAACATTTTGTTTTGTTCTTTCATGGATCATGAGATTACTGATAATATATATTGGAGCAATTTAAGACCATTGGTTGTGCAAGAAAAAACGAAATTCTCTTAGTAGGGTCATAACCTTACATCATTTCACATCTAGAGTGAGTCATGAATCGAAGAACTTCCCTAGCACATGAATTGGCTATTTTACTTTATCATATTACGAAGTTACCTCCTATGAAAAGGCAATACCGATTTGTGTATTCTATCATCAAGTGATCTAACATATCTAACATAATTGTCATTAAAAAAACTTCCACGTGAAAAAGCCCGTTCTTTGCATATAATAGTTTTTTCACTAGTGACTTCTTGATACCTATGCATGAAATATATTCCCAATGTTTATGGTTGTTGACCTCCAGATCAAGTCCAAAAGAGCAAAAAGAGAGGAGAAGCAAAAAATCCAGCATACATACCTCATACCCGTCGGATCCTCAAAATATTGCCGAAATCTCGCTGAATTCGGCGCTGTTCGCGTCAAAACCTCCGCAAAACCCGTATGAAGCTCCTCGATCGCTGATTTCCCAGGCTTTTAAAGGCCAACCGAGCGGACATCATTCGCTGCTCTCGACTCCAAACCACAGCCGAAGGCTCTCTGCTTCCAATCTCCTTCCCCGACCGAAGCTCTGCCCTAGTCGCACCTCAGGCGACAATCACACAACAAACCTCTTCCACTCTCACGAACTCACAGACCTCTCCCACGATCCTCATCCAGCCGCCGACACACTCCAGCTCCGACACTTCTCCCATACCCGAAACCTTCCTCCACCGATCCTCTGCCGTGCCGACTCCAAGCGGAGAGTTATTTTTAGTTATAATTAATTATTTTAATTAGGTATAATTAATTAAATTTAATTATAGTTAATTAAATTAAATTATAATTATTTACTTTAATTTTAATTAATTATAATTAGTGATATTTAAGTAAGTTAATTTTGAATTAACTTTTTTAATTATAATTAATTATAATTAATTTAAATTAATTATAATAAAAAAAGAGAAAGAAAATGCTTGTTCCCCTCCACTCTCTTTCCTCGGCGTTCGTGTCGGACCGACAAACCGCCCAAGCACGCCTTTAGTGCGCGTGGTGGGATGGGACCTCGGTGCGACACCTACGACGAGATTGGCGAGTGACCCCTCGATCCACGTGTGAACTGCGATAACCCCGCAGAGGTATGAATCTTTCTAAACTCAAACCTTACTTCAATGCTTGGAGGAGTTGTAATGGGTATAACTTGAATACAACGATCAAACTCCAAGAGGATACTTCAAAGTAAATAATCAAATGTAATAAATATAAGATTATCTTATGACTTTCAATCGACCAAATTGTAAGTGATAATAATTGACTCTTATGTTCTACAAAGAAATTCTCTACAAACCCATTTGACATACTAGTAGAAGATGTATGACAAATGTGGTAGCATTCCAATCAAGGTGGTAAAAAAAATGGAGTTCCCAAACAAATGTTTGAAAAGCTTTTGTACCAATCAAAATTCAAGCTAATAACTACTTCCAAGGGCAACTAGAAGCTTATGAGATTCAACATATTTCTCACACAAGTGACATATTTTCAAAGTAGATGAGCATGGAGAAATACAATAGTGAAGAAGCGGTCCATAAGCAAAGCAAGGGAGATGTAGAAGAAGCGGATTCTTTGATTATCAATTCAGACTAATATATAAATGAGCACACAACAGTATACTTTCAAATGAGAAGAATAAATGTACTACAAGACCCTTGATTTACGTATAGCCAACATGAAATCTGCGGTGTTCATACTAATCGACCAATGAACTCGTATGCTGAAGATTAGAAGCCCTAATGAAGAAAATTATTAATCGATGCAACGATTGACATACAACAGATACAAGCACCCGCAAACTCTTGTATCAAGGGTATTCTAGCATCCTCGTAGTCAACATCGAAATTCAAACATATAAATTGACTTTCATGCAATCAAGGATAAAATGATCTGCAATACATACAACCTCTCTACGAATACAGATGTATGTATAACATGTCATCTATGGGTAGATGCATAAAAACTTCAGTAAGTGTAGTATCCTGAAGTTAATTATAGTCTGTGAAGGAAGACATCTACCCACCTACATGCAGTAGTAGCAGATGCACTGAAAAGACCAAGGGACAACCTAATGCATAGAGAATATAACAAGTGCAAGCTCCTATGACCCAAGGCAGTAGATTAGTTAGTACACTACAATCTACCTGCGTAAATCATGCAAGTAGTGCAAGACAGTCTTCCTGTACAAAGCAGCGAACAACTCTATTCAGAAGCTGCTACGCCATGCCACCAGATCTGCAACCTCCGTACAAGCAGAAAGAAGGCATCTACAAATGATTTCAAAATACCCCCTCACGTGCACTGTTAATTTGTATACACATAGGTACACTAAGGGGAAAAATACAATCTAAACCTGCATGGGCCCCGGCGAGCGTGTTATTGGTACACACGTGACGTCTAGGGAAGCTGCGCGGGTTGACAAGTGAATTCAGGTTCGAAACTGATCCTTCTATACGGGTCAATAGAAGTCGACAGGGTTCGAACCAACAAACAAATATACGGTTGTGGCTATTGTTATATTTGTCTTAATACATCCATATTAGGCCTTCAAGGCCTATAACAATGAGAATGCACTATCAAATGGCATAAAGCCTACGAAACCCGATCCTCTGTCGACAGGCTGATAGAGTTGACAAGGTTCAATCTATAAAGAGAAATGACCCCAAACACCCCGATGATGGCCGTGTTGATTTCTTATCTCAACCGGAAGGGCTCACAAATATTTTTCAAATGTCATTCCAAATACTCAAAATTCCATCCAAATTCCTACAAAAATCCAAAAAATTCTAAAAAATCTCAAAAATATTTAAATTTGAAATTCAACCCATTAATCACTTAAAGCAAAATCCATCCACCCTCCGCAATAGTTTACTGGGGTGGACAAATCAAAATTTACCTCAGCTCACGAAAGAGCTAAATGCTTAGTCGAAAATATTATTAGGATCCATTCTCAAAAAGTCTCCTGCCAATAAGGACGTGGTACGTGTCCTCTAACCTGCAGTTTCGCCGCCAAATGGCACTGCAGGTAAACGGTTATGACCCGGGGCCCTCTGAATTGAGTGGTTTTGCCGCCAAATGGCACCACAGATAGCGGTTATGGCCAGCGCCGATACGCTCCTTAATGGCATCAAATCCTTGAGATATGAATCAATAAGATATGATCGATAGGGCACAAAGCCCTTTGTTAGCTAAGGTGGATTTAAATTTGTCCCCTTAGGCAAATACCCATCTCAGGTCTACAAGGTACCCTTGGACGAAGCAACCCATGGCTGCCGACAAGGATCCTTCTGTCAGGTTGGGTCGACTACCTCCTTTGACTTAGTAGACCAGGGACCACGATGGCCCGGGACGACGGAACCATGGGATCTTGATCGGACCTATCATCCATTTCCCCACCATCCGCTTTAAGTGCAAGATGGTGAAGTTTCTATTTTAAATATCAAATTTTCTAACCTCCAAATTTTCCAAACCCTTCAAAATACCGAAATTCAAACACAATTTTCAAATCCAAATCTATGTTGCTACTATATGCCAGATACCACGTATTATCTACGTATATGATCGACGACTAGCCTTAATCGAAAGTTCTCTCTCATGATCGGGAGGGGTAATTAACTATAGGGGCTTGCGCCTATAGGAAACCAGAACTCAGATTATAAAGTCCTCGCAAAATGAGGGTGAAATCTCTAGACAATCTGCCTTCCAAAATTTACCTTGGAACTTATTCAGTTAAAACTCCCTCTCCTAATAAAAAAAAAAGAAAAAGTGCGATGGGGAGGCCGGGGCCGAATTTTCGGAGCCCACAGATTTCTGGCGACTTTTCTGGGGATTGGTTTCTCTTTCCATCTTTGGCTAGTCGTCTCAGTGTTATAGTAGCAGTTATTTC